CTTACAGCCTCTGCACCATATCCGCCCGCCCCCCCCCCCAATAGCTTCCCACCCTTCGCGCCCTGCCCCGCCTGAAATCATTCGCCATTGTGGTGCAAAACTCAGGCTCCTTCATACATGCTGATTTTTACACGGTGAACTCTTCCACGCGTGGCCATGTCTGCGCAGCCCAGGATTCCTCCGTATCCACCGCCGCCATCGCCGCCGCCGCAGTCGGGGAACAGCGGTTCCGGCTACTACCCCTTGCCGAGGGCCGCGTCGGACAGGTTGCATGCAGGCCCAGAGCCCGAGCTGCCCCAGGAGACGCCGCCGCCCGCAGATGCAATGGTGACGGTGGTGGAGGACAGCTTGAGCGACGCCGAGGGCCCTGCGCATGAAGCCTCACGGCGTGGAGATGGTGGTGCCACCCAGGAGGATCTCCAGGACAGCATGCCGCGTGGCCTGAGTTTTGCCGCCGCATACAGCGTGCCACCGCATGCCGACGGCGGCAAGGGATCTTCAGCGGCGGCTCCTGCGGGCATTGGGGAGACGCCAAAGGCTGAGCTGCCAATGGCAACGGCAAAGTCTGATGAGGGAGGGGGTCGGAATCGGCCTCGGCGTAAGCTGACGAAGGTCGTCTACGAGAAGCGCAGGAAGTGCATCGCGCATACTTTCAAGGAGGGTGAGGTGATCCCCGACGGCCTTGGCGATATCTTCCAGGGCCTGACGTCGACGTGCACCAACAAGTACTCGGCTGGCACCAAGACGAGGGGCCCGCTGGACGTCAAGTACACGGTGGAATACACGTGCGAGGAGGTTTGGGAGACGACGTCGACCGTGTTGGAGTCCGACTCCGATTGAGGCAATGGTGAATGAGGGGGCCAATTAAGGCCATGGTGGATGAGACGGCCGTCTTCTGAAGACGGCGACCGTGCATGAGTCCGACTCCGATTGAGGCCGCCGTGGGCATTTGCACGATGACGGCGGCCTCATTATGATGCCGTGGAGCGTATGCATGCCGACCCGCGGCGTCAAGCCGACCTGTGGCGTTGTTTCGAGCCGACCTGCGGCGTTCTGATTTGCCGTGGAGTGTGGCACTTGTTTCAACTCGTTTGATGGTTGCATTGATAGGTCCGCGGTGGCTTGGAAGAAAGGTTTCTCTGAAGGGATTCACCCCTCCATCCGCTGGCGCAAAGCAGCCGGCGCCAGCCTCGCCGTCCCTGCTGGCCTCAGCCTAGTTGCCTAGACCTCTGGCGTGGCCGAGTCACTGCCTCTGGCGTGCCGCTGCCTTTGGCGCGTCTTCCGAGGCCAGGGCGGCGTCGCGGCAGCTCGCGCCGCGACGCTTGCGAGCGGCAAAAAGACGACGTCGTCATCGCCGCCACCGTAGTAGGCGCCATCATGACCACCCACATCATCAGCACAATCAGCGACATCATGACCACCGACATCATGACCATCGTCATCGTGACCCCTGACATCATGACCACCGACATCATGACCATCGTCATCGCGACCACCTACACCATCTCAATCCTTAGCCTCCCCTAGCAAAACTAAACGAGGCCCTAGGGAAACTAAACAGGACCATGCCCAAACTAAACGAGACCCTAGGAAAACTAAACAGGACCTTACCCAAACTAAACGAGACCCTAGGAACACTAAGCAGGACCCTACCAAAACTAATCGAGACCCTAGGAACACTAAACAGGACCCTACGAAAACCAAACGAGACCCTAGGACAACTAAACAGGACCCTACCAAAACTAAACGAGACCTTCGGACAACTAAACAGGACTCCGCCAAAACTAAACGAGACCCTAGGAAAAGTAGACAAGACCCTCGGACAATTAAACAAGACACTCGGACAACTAAACAGGACCCTGCCAAAACTAAACGAGACCCTGGGAAAACTGAACAGGACCCGAACAAAACTAATCGAGACCCTGGGGCAACTAAACAGGACCCTACCAAAAATACGCGAGACCTTGCGACAACTTAACATAACCTTGCCAAAACTAAACGAGACCCTAGGACAACTAAACAGGACCGCAGCAAAACTAAACGAGACCTTAGGAAAGCGATGCAGGACCCTACCAAAACTAAACGAGACACTCGGACAACTAAACAGGACCATCGGAACAGTACACAGGATCTGACCAACATTAAACGAGACCCTGCCAAAACTAAACGAGACCCTAGGACAACTAAACAGGACCCCGCCAAAACTAAACGAGACCCTCGGACAACTAAACAGGACCCGACCAAAACTAGACGAGACCCTTGGAAAACCAAATCGGACCCTAGCAAAACCAAGCGAGACCCTAGGAACACTCAACAGCACTCTACCGATTCTAAACGAGACCCTAGGACGACTAAACGAGACCTTAGGACAGCTAACCGGACCCTACCAAAACTACGCGAGGCCTTGCGACAATTAAACAGGACTTTAGCAAAACCAAACGAGACCCTAGGACAACCAACCAGGACCGTAGCAAAATTAAACGAGACTTTAGGAAAACTAAGCAGGACCCTAGCAAAACTAAACGAGACCCTCGGAAAACCAAACAGGACCCTACCAAAATTAAACGAGACCCTAAGAACACCCAACATGACCGTGCCAAAAATAAACGAGACCATAGGAACACTAAGCAGGACCCTACCAAAAGTAAACGATACCGTAGGAAAGCTAAACATGACCCTAGCAAAACTAAACGAGACCCTCGGACAACTAAACAGGACCCTAGCACAACTAAACCAGACCTTAGGACAACTAAACAGGGCCATAGGAAAACTAAACGAGACCCTGGGAAAACTAAACAGGACCCTGCCAAAACTAAACGAGACCCTAGGACAACTAAACAGGACCCTACCAAAACTAAACGAGACCCTCGGACATCTAAACAGGACCCGACCAAAACTAAACGGGACCCTCGGAAAACCAAATAGGACCCTAGCAAATCCAAACGAGACCTTAGGACAACTAAACAGGACTCTACCAGTTCTAAACGAGACCCTAGGAAAACTAAACAGGACCCTACCAACACTAAACGAGAGCCTAGGAGCACTAAACAGGACCTTGCCAAACCTAAGCGAGATCCTAGGCAAACTAAACCGGATCATACCACAACTAAACGAGACCCTAGGAAAACTAAACAGGACCCTGCGTAAACTAAACGAGACCCTCGGACAACTAAACAGGGCCCTAGCAATACTAAACGAGACCCTAGGACAACTAAACACGACCCTACCACAATTAAACGTGACCATATCAAAACTAAACAGGACCCTCGCAAAACCAAACGAGACCCTAGGCAAACTAAACATGACCTTGGCAACATTGAACGGGGCCCTGGGAAAACTAAACAGGATCCCAGCAAAACCAAACGGGACCCTAGGACAACTAAACAGGATCCCACTAAACAACGAGACCCTGGGAAAACTAAACATGACCCTAGCAACACTAAACGAGACTTTAGGACAACTAAACAGGGCCCTACCAAAACTACACGAGACCCTAGAAACAATAAACAGGACTTTAGTAAAACGAAACGAGACCCTAGGACAACTAAACAGGACCCTCGCAAAACTAAACGAGACCATTGGGAACATAAACAGGGCCCTAGCAACACTAAACGAGACATTCGGACAACTAAACAGGACCTTCGCAACACTAAGCGAGACCCTTGGAACACCAACCAGGACCCTAGCACAACTAAGCGAGACCCTAGGACAATTAAGCATGACCTACCAAAACTAGACGAGACCCGAGGAGAACTAACCAGGACCCTGCCGCAACTAAACGAGACCATTGGGGAAACCCTAGCAAAACTATACGAGACCCTCGGACAATTAAACATGACCGTAGCAGAACTAAACGAGACCCTAGGAAAACTAAACAGGACCCTAGCAAAACTAAACGAGACCCTAGGACAATTAAACAGGACCCTAGGACAACTAAACGAGACCCAAGGACAACTTGACATGACCCCAGCAAAACTAAACGAGACCCAAGGAACCCTGAACAGGACCCCAGCAAAACTAAACGAGACCCTAAAGACAACTAAACAGGACTCTACCAAAACTAAACGGGACCCTGGGAAAACTCAACAGGACTTTAGCACAACGAAGCGTGACCCTAGCAAAACTAAACCAGACCCTGGGAAAACTAAGCAGGACCCTAGCAACATTGAACGAGACCCTAGGACAACTAACCAGGACCCTACCAAAACTAAACGAAACCCTCGGACAATTAAGCAGGACCCCCGCACAACTAAACGAGACTCAAGGAAAACTAAGCAGGACCTTACCAAAACTAAACGAGACCCTAGGGCAACCAAGCAGGACCAGCAAAACTAAACGAGACCCTGGGAAAACTAAACAGGACCCTAGCAAAACTAAGAGACCCTCGGAACATTAAACAGGACCCTACCAGAACTAAACAAGACCCTATGAAAACTAAGCAGAACCCCTACCAAAACGAATCGAGACCCTCGGAACAGTAAACAGGACCCTACCAAAACTAAACGAGACCCTAGGACAACTAAACAGGACCCTAGCAACACCAAACGAGACCCTAGCAAAACTAAACGTGACCCCAGCAAAACTAAACGAGACTGTAGGACATCTAAACAGGACCCTAGGAAAACTAAACGAGACCTTAGGAAAAGTAGGCGTTCGTTGGTGTGCGTTTTCGGCTTCTCGCGCGCCTCCCTGGTGGCTTTGATCATCATCATCGTCAGCGGTGTCGGCTCTCAGCGCGAGTAGTTTGCCTTTCGCCCTCTTCCCGAATCACCATGGGCAAGAGGGCAGCTGACTTGGCGACCACGTCGCCTGCGAAGAAGGCGGCGGCGGCCTCGCCAGCCGCTGCGGCATCTCCAGCCGCTGCCTCTGGCGCGTCGCCAGCCGCTGCGGCCTCGCCAGCCGCTGCCTCTGGCGCGTCGCCCGCCGCTGGCTCTGGCGCGCCGCCAGCCGTTGCCTCTGGCGCGCCGCCTGCCCCGCTGTGCATCAATCAGCTCCTCGAGATGGAGAACGCGTCGACGCAGCAAGGTGCTGCCAAGGACTGGGCGCGCCAAGTGAAGGGCTACGTCGACCAGGCTTTGCTCATCTTCCTGGATCAGCGCAAGCGCGAGGTGTCCTTCGCGGTGCCCGCCCAGTGTTCTTTGATTGCGCCGTTGGCCATCACTGATGCTGCCTCTGGCGCTAACCTCGCTTCGTTTCGCGAGGTCATGGACTTCGACAGCCTGGTTGCGAGCTTCTCCCGCACTAAGGAGTACGAGGCAGCGGGGGCGGTGTGGATGTTGGACCCGGTTTGCGCGGACATCGACGACGTCACCGTAAGCCAGCTCGAGGGTGCCATGAGCATCTGGTCGGAGGAGACGTTCCTCCTCTCCTCCAAGCACGCGCCCTCGCGGCGCCTGACCTTCGACGTGCCTCTCCTCGCCTTGGTGGTCAATGCTCAGGTCGCCCAGCGCCATGAGCCTGGCAAGCCTGTAGTTTGCTTGACAGAGCCTCTGGCCATGATCGCGGGCCGCGCGGTGGTGATCACGTGGTATTCTGCCATGGGCGAGGCGCTCAGGGAGTCCAGCGAGGACCGCGTGTGGCATCTGTTCAATGCCGCGTTGTCCGTCCCCATCAGGATGCGCGTGCTGCCCGATGTGGACGCGACCCACTTGGCGCCCCTGAGTTTTGGAGAGATATGTTCACTGCGAGTGCTGCCTCTGGCGCAGAGCTTCTGGCGGCTCGCAGAAAAAGCGCGCCGCTTGACAAACGTGCGCGCCAGTCTCGCCAAGTCGGAAGCAGTGGCGAAGCTGGAGGCTGCGCTGAAGGCCTACGGCCTCCAGTTCAAAGGGGAACCGTGCACCGCCGCAACTGCCGCGGCGCTGAAAGGTTTGCGCATTTTCGCACTCGACAGCGCCTGCGCTTCGGCTTTCTCGCTGGCCGAAGCGTGTATCCCAGAGCTTCGCGAACCTACGCTTCTCATGAAGATCGGCTTCGCGTGCTCCAAAAGGGCTGTCTCTGACGACTAGGCCAGGGAATTGTTAGTTTTCATCCTGGACGCTGTCCGCGTGGCCCGCCTGGCGGGCGACGTCCCGAAGGGCGAGAAACTGGCCGTGAGCCGGGTCTGCGGGCGCGATAGTAAGTCGCCAGGGGTGCTCCGCTCTTCAAGAAAAAGGAGCTCGTCGAGTACATTTGCCACGAGGCCTCTCTCGTGCACAAGGGACATGGGCGCCAAATGGCCGCGTTCAAAACACCTCTCCGCATCCTCCAGCGATTCGCTGCCTCTGGCTCGGATGGGCTCGTGGCTTCGCACCGCGTGTCCGACTCAGGCGGCGGCGCCGACGGGATGGAGATATCGGTCGCGCTCCCCGTGGCAGAGTATCGGAACACCGTGGATTGCAAGTCCAAGGCGAGGATCGACGTCGCGTGGCCTCTGTGGTCGGGCGCTTTCGACGGAGAAATCGTTGAGCTTGCCAAGCAGGAGATGCAGAACAGCGCGCCTGCGTTCGTCTGGCACACGTGCCTCGCCGAGACCAGCCAGGAGGTGGGCGCCAAGTGCCGCGCTTTCGTGGCCGCCTGCGCGGGCGGGCCGATCCCCGCCGACCCCGAGCTGGATGCAAATCTCGGCTTGTTGGGGGCGTCCGAGCTCGGGGAAGAACAACGGGAAGAGCTCGCCAAACTCCAGGAGCAGCTCAAGCTTCTTCGCAAAAACAAAGTGAAGTTCGTCAGTTTGCCATCTGTCGGCGCTGCCACTGGCGCGGAGTACTCAGTGGGGCAGATGCAGAGCGTGTGGGATGCGCTCAGCCATGGGCACCGCTTCGCGAGGAAGAAGACCGACGTTCGCGCGTTCGTCCTCTCAGCTTGAGCTCTTCCCGCCCAACGTCGCCAAGCAAGGCGTCAAGGCGAGGCTGTGCGAGCAGTTGGCGTGCGACGAGGCGAAGTTCAAGCGAGTCATCGAGTTCTTCTTGCAGAAGAGGCAGAAGGATGACATCATCATCTTCCTCGACGGCAGGAGCCGCGCGAACCGCCGGGTCATTGAGACCGTCGATGCCAAGTTGGAGTCAGGAGGCTCCCACGCGTTCGTTGAGTGCTGGATCGTGTGCGAGCAGCCAAACAAGAAGGAGGATCCGCGGTCCCCGGCCAGGGCGCACAGATACACCAATAACAACAGGGAGACGGCGATCTTCTCGCTGCCAGTCAAGGGCCCGCGGAAAGTGGTGCACCGTTCGGGGTTCAACGCGCGCGGCGAGTCCTCGACCGCAGACGCGACGTGCACTGGCGCCACAATGCGGCGTCTTTCCGGGCTCCCTCGCCTGAGCTACGAGACCAAGGCGAGCATCCTGGGAGCTGCATCTTGCGCTAGCGTTGACGGCGCCAACTCGAAGATGCCGCGCCTGCAGGCAGACGTCGATTCGAAGGGCCACCCGTTCTCGTATAACGAGGTGAAGCCCATCAGCCTGTGGCAGACGATCATGGGGCACCGCGGCGTGACCCGCGTCGTGGACTTCATTCCAGGCTCTGGCGCCTTGGCTGTTGCTGCCGCTGGCGTAATGGAGTGCGAAGGCGTCGCTTGCAACGATGACCGTCGGGACTGGCTCGACTCCATCGTGGACAGGTGCGTGATGTACAAGGCGGGCCACGAGGAGGGGCGCGCGCGTGAATTGGGCGGCGACGCCGACTTCGTCGAGAAAGCCAGCAAGTATTTCAGCGGAACCATGATGGAGGCGAAACGTCTGTTGATGCCGCTGGCCGACGAGGGCGGCGGGGACGAGGAGGGGGGCGAGGGCGAGGATGACGAAGAGTAGGCGACGCACTGCCTCTGGCGTGCCACGACGTGTGCATATGACACAGCTGCCACGAGCTGCTGCACGGCGCCCCATGCTTCCTGGCCAGGGCCGGTCTTCCTCGTCCTGGTTTGACTCTGACTTTTGGCCGCCGCGCGCGGAAGTCTCGGTTCGGAAAAAGTGATATCGTCCCTGACGACTCGCCGGCTCTCCGACGACTTCCCGACGACCCCCCAGTTCTCCGACTCTCAGACTCCCCGACTCCGGACTCCCCGACCGACTCCCCGACTCCCCGACTCCCCGATTCCGACTCCCCGACGACTCCCCGACTCTCCGATTCCCCGACTTCCCGACTCCCCGACTTCTTGACTCCGCGACACCCCGACTTTCCGACTCCGCTCCCCGTCTCCCGCTCCCCGACTCCCCGGCTCCCTGACCCACCCCCGACTCCCTGACCCCCCGACTCCCCGAGTCACCGACTCCCCGAGTCTCCGATTTGCCCAGCTCCCTTCGCGATTCCCCGAGTCGCCAGGGTTTTGTTTCCTTGGGTCTCTGTCTACTTCTCCCAGTGTCTTGTTTAGTTTTCCTGAGGTCTTCTTTAGTTTTCCTAGGGTTCTATTTTGTTTTGCTAGGGTCTTTCTTAGTTTTCCACGGCCTTGTTTACTATGCCTAGGGTTTCTTTTATTTTTCTTAGGGTCCTGTTTAGTTTTCCGACGGTCTCGTTTCGTTTTGGTAGGGTCCTGTTTAGTTTTCCTAGGGTTTCGTTCAGTCTTGCTAGGGCCCTACTTGGTTTTCCAAGGATCTCGTTTAGTTTTGGTAGGGTCCTGTTAATTTGTCCGAGGGTCTCGATTCGTATTGGTAGGGTCCTGTTTAGTTTTCCTAGGGTCTCGTTTAGTTTTGGTAGGGTCCTGTTTAGTTTTCCTAGGGCCTCGTTTCGCTTTTCTAGGGTCCTGCTTAGTTTTCCTCGGGTCTCGTTTAGTTTTGGTGGGGTCCTGTTTAGTTGTCCTAGGGTCTCGTTTGGTTTTGCTAGGGCCTTGTTTAGTTTTCTCATCTTCTCGTTGAGTTTTGCTAGGGTCCTGCTTCGTTTTCCGAGGGTCTCGTTTACTTATGCTGGTTTTGTTTTGTTTTCCTAGGGTCTCGTTTAGTTTTGGTAGGGTCTTGTTTAGTTTTCCTTGAGTCGCTTAGTTTTGCTAGGGTCCTGTTTCGTTGTCCTAGGGTCTCGTTTAGTTTTGGTAGGGTTCTGGTTAGTTGTCTCGTTTAGTTTTGCTAGGGTCCTGTTTGGTTTGCCAGGGTCTCGATTAGTTTTGTTAGGGTCACGTTTAGTTTCCCTAGGGTCTCGTTTAGTTTTGGTAGGGTCCTGTTTAGAATTCCTAGGGTCTTGTGTAGTTTTGGTAGGGTCCTGTTTTTGATAGGGTCCTGTTAAGTTTTCCTTGGGTCTCGTTTAGTTTTGGTAGGGTCATGTTTAATTTTCCGATGGGTTCGTTTAGTATTGGTAGGGTCCTGTTTAGTTTTCCCAGGGTCTCGTTGAGTTTTGGTGGGGTCCTGTTTAGTTTTCCTCGGGTCTCGTTTAGTTTTGCCAGGGTCCTGTTTAGTTGTACTAGGGTCCCCGTCAGTTTTTGTAAGGTCATGTTTAGTTTTCCTAGGGTCTCGTTTAGTTTTGGTAGGGTCCTGTTTAGTTTTCCTAGGGTCTCGTTTAGTTTTGGTAGGGTCCTGTTTAGTTTTCCTAGGGTCTCGTTTAGTTTTGCTCGGGTCCTGCTTAGTTTTCCTGTGGTCTCGTTTAGTTTTGGTGGGGTCTTGCTTCGTTTTCCGAGGGTCTCGTTTAGTGTTGCTAGGGCCTTGTTTAGTGTTCCGATGGTCTCGTTTAATTTTGGTAGGATGTTGAGTTTTCCGAGGGTCTCGTTTAGTTTTGCTGGTCCTTATTAGTTTTCATTGAGTTTTGTGCAGTTTTCCGAGGGTCTTGTGTAGTTGTCCTTCCGTTTTGTTTAATTTTCATACGGTATTGTTTAGTTTCCCCAGGGTCTTGTTTAGTTTCCCTATGGTCTTGCTTCGTTTCCTTCGGGTATTTTCCTAGGGTCTTATCATGTTTTCATAGTTTGGGTCTTGTCTAGTTTTCTTACGGTCTTGTTTAGTTTTCCCAGGTTTTCCGTAGTTTTCCTAGGGTCTTCCTTAGTTTTTTCGCTGGTAGTGTTTAGTTTTCCCCTGGTAGTGTTTAGTCTTCTCCTGGTCGTGTTCAGTTTTTCCCTGGCTCGTTTGGTTTTCTCCTAGTCGTGTTTATTTTTCCCCACGGTCGCGTGGAATTTTTCCCTGGTCAGCGCCGCCGCCGTCGTCGCCATCGTCGTGCTTCGTCGAGCTCGCTGTTGCAACATAGCCGGTTTGGCACGAGCCGAGTGTCGCGCATCTGGGGCGCGCCGCGATCGGGGGCGCTGTGCTGGGTGATGCGCGTGCCGCTTTATTTTCAATTCGGGGGTTATCTAAAAGAAAAGCCGGCATCAGCGAGCGCGGGGCAGTCGCCGCCGTCGCGGGGGCATTGCGGACAAACCCGCAGCGGCGGAGCGTCCAGCGCCAAGAAGAAATATCTGCTTGTGGCGAGGGCGGCCCTGCCTCTGGCGCATCGTCGTGGAAGGGGTGGTGTTGCCTCTGGCGCATCTGGCAAGGGTGGCGCTGCCTCTGGCGCGGCGCGGAGAAAACGCAGGGCGGTTCAGTCTCGCGAGGGCGTGACCGAGGCGAGAACGAGTCGGACAGTGACCGATTCGGATGAGCAGCGCTTCGCCAAGCATTCCCCTTGCAACGCGGCGTTCTGTATCAGATGCGATTTTCACCGACGGCGCGAAGCGTGCGCGGCGCTATCTCTCCTGCCGAATGGTTCGTCGTGGCCGGCTGCAGGCGAGCATCGCGGCCAGCGGGGGCTGGGTTGCCGAGTGCGCGCGAAGGCTGCGGCCGCAGGGCGGGCAAGTTCTGACGGCAGGTTCTCCAAGTTTGCTTCTTTCAAGGTCCGCCCTATGACGGGCTTCCGCGCGAGATTCCACGTGGAACAGCATCAGAGGTCAGCAGCGCATCGACGCGCAGCGGGAGTGAAGCAGGTCGAAAGATTCTGCGCATAATTCTCGCCTAAGTCACTACCTCTGGCCTGAGAAGATTTTCCTACATCAGAAAAGATGGAGGACGTGGCGGCGGCAGACGCTGCGCTTCTGCGGGGAAATGCGCCGTCGGCCGCGGAACGGAGGGATGCTTGGGCGATGCTCTCTGAGACGTCTTCTCTGCGCAAGTGCGCTCGCGCGCGGCGGAAGCAGTTCTCCACGGACGATCCGACGGAGGAGAGAACTCGGAAACGCAGGCGCAAGCAGCTCTGCGTGATGGCGGAGGAACTTCGCGTGGAAACTCGCGAGGTGCTGCGGCGCGCCGCATCGATATCTTTATCCTTGGACGAGTCGAAGTACCGCAAGATCGTTAGATATCGCGCTGACGTGCCCGCCCCTGTCGGCGGCGGCGTCGCTCAGAACGTGGGGGCTTCAGGCTATTGCACACCCTGGCGCCAGACATCATGAACAGCGACAAGTGGAGAGACCCGTCCGTGGCCATTCAAGAGGATGACATCGTGCCTGTGGCGCAAGCTGGCCTTGGTCGCAAGCCTTTGGAAGCAGTCGTGCGGAATCTTTCGTTCGCCAAGCAACGATTCGATTCCACGGCGGGGCCAGTCGGGAATATTGCGCTGATGTTGTTGCCAGTTGCGACTTTGCTGGCGCGCATATCATCGGACAAACGTCACGAGAGCGAAAAGCGTGAGCGGGCCCTGACTTTACTGAGAAAGTTGGACACCCAGTTTTGCATGGCTGTCGGCGTGTCCGCGGATTGGGGCATCATTTGCAATTGGTTCTTGCGTGTGTTCGACGTTGCCAACCACGACATCGCTCCGTCGCGTTTGCAGATCGATTGCGTGGTGGAGACATTGGACGCTGCCTTCAAGGACGGGCGTGTGTTTCAGACCCTCAGGCAGGCTGCCCCTGGCGCCGCCGCCGCCATGCAGGCTGCCTCTGGCGCCGCCGCCGCGAGCGCCGAACCGCTGCCATGCGTGGGTGCGCACGGGGGGGCGCCCGGCTTCATCATGGCCGCCGTGATGTCAAACCTTCGGCGGAAGTATATTTTCTTGGCTGATGGGAATCCCGCGTTACTCTGGGGTGATCCTCGGGACGCCCGCAAGGCGGAGTTGCTCGAGAGAGTGCAGAATGCGGCCTGTTTGACGAAAGATCGTCTTCTTGTTGATTTTCCTCAAAATGACATCCGCTCGGCATTGTCGATGTTCGATCGCCGTCTCATTCGGGAGGATTCGGGGATCTGCCCTGTCTGCAGACGCGGAGGTTCATTCTCCGAGGCGTGAGCAAAGTAGCCGCGGCGCTCGGTTGCGACGAGGTGGCGGCCCAGCTCCAGCACCGCGACGTCATCCCCCCTCATGCTGAAGCAGTTCTCTGCTGGCAAGTCTCTAGCAGAGAAAACCAATCAGAAAGCGTGGGCTCGTTTGCTCGACGATGCGTTCTGGCACCTTGCGTGTCCGAAGCGTTTGGTAAATGCGCCCAGTGCCCTCCGCAAGCTCATCTGTTTTTATATTTCCATAGAGGACGGCGAGTGCGCAGTGGAGCGCGATTTCGCGTTCCTGCGGAACGAGCAAGCGGAGCATCGCACGTCAAACCATGATTTCTTCGACGATGCCCTGATCGCGAAGCTCAGTGGTCCGCGAACCGTCGCTGAGTTCGAGGATTTCGCTTTGTCGTCCAGAACAGAGCTCGCGCCCTTTTTTTAGAAAGTGCGCCTGCCTCTGGCGGCGGCTCTACGGCGCGCGCTGTGGGCATTGCAATCCCGCCGCCACGCGCGCGGCCAGTCTCAAGAGGGCCGAAAAAAGAGGCACCCTGCGCCGCGCTAGTCTTGGCGTTCTCGCTGCTGCCCGCTTGGCCGTGCAGTGCAAGCGCGCGCGCCTCCAGCGCAGCGCTACATCCTGGCGCAGGCGCGGATCGGAGCACCCGCTGGAA